GGATTTGTTTTTTCCAGAGTTACGATATTTGTTTGTTCTAATCTTGGGAGAGGGGGGGGGGGGGCCTTGGCGACGGTGACACTGCAGCCGTGATCTTCCTTCTCTCTGCCTACACTCCGCCAGGTAATAGAAGTAATGACAAAATAGTGGCGCGATGGTGTTATTTGTGTTAGTGATGTTATAGTGAAAAGAGCCTTTGTGGGTGCAACGCGGGAGTTGTCGAGCCATTTCCCGGTAGATGACGGGCAGGGACAAAGCACTGGCAAGTATGCTGTGGCAAAGTGACTGCATATGTCCGACAACAACTTCCTGACGGCCTCTAACGCCACCACTCGACATATGGAGAGGGTGTCCGTCCGTCCCCGTATACATAGTGGGGTAAAGGCGCGCTGTCATGCGGACTCAATTTGTGCAGTGCCTCCAGGCTCCAGCATCGCCCCCCCCCCCCGGGCCATAACGCGTCCAGACCGGAGCCCACGCTACAGCCCCTCGCTCCAGCATGCCTCTGCCCCCCCTCCCCCCTGGCACATTCCTGCAACGCATTCCGGTGCGATATTGCTGGCGCCGGGGCGAGCGTCGCGCCGAGAGGCCCCAGCGGGTCTGAAAAGGACCCCACTAAGCCTCGCCGCACCCGCTCGCAATGAGGGAGGACCTTTCACTGCTTCGTATTCACGTCATCGGCCGCTGCGAGGGCGGAGGTACTTCCCCCGCTACTACCCCTGTGTTTGCGTGCCCCTCTCTCTCTCTTTCTCCCCCCTCCCCCTCTTGCCAAAGACGGAAAAGGTTTTCAAATTACGATCGACGGCCGTTTGATTATAACAGGACGTTTATTTATGAAAATATATTTTACAGCGACCACATGACCCGCAAGTCATACATAGGAAGATATACAACTGAAAGAAAAAAATATTGGTTAATTTCTCCAGGACTAGGTATTAACATGACTAAACGCGCGTTTTTGATATGGGATGAACAGTTTTGAGAAAGAAACCGAGAAGACAGTACGAATTGTATCGTTCCACCTAAAATGCCACACTCATGATCACTACAAGCCAGACAATTAATTTGTCGGCATGGGAAGTGGTTACATCTTTTACATTAGACAGACTACAAATCAATCCACACACAATGTTAACATTTTATTGAAAATTATTTTTCTTGATGGAATGCAACCAACGTAGAAACCTAACACGGTTTATAATAACAACCAGTCGCAAGTTATACATACGAAATAAAATGCAAAAGTGAATGAAAACTAGGTAGTACATCACCTGGGGGCGTTCGTTTAAATAGACACTGTAAACTTAAGAACGAATATTTCGAAAGAGAACAAACAGTCGAGAAATACTTAAGATAATACTAACTAGTACAGAGTCGCAGGAGCGTTCACGCTCACCGTCAACCACTAATCTAAAAGAAGAGATTGTCCTTTAGCAAAACTTTCATGATCTCAAAGTGAAGAAATAAAAAGAAAGATCCTGTTCCAAAGGCAATTTTAACAGGTCCTTGCGCAAGTAATTATCCTACATCTTCGAAACATTTAGGCCTGAAATGAAACAAATATCCCAGAAAATAAGAAACCACTCGAAGTGCTTTATAGCGTGGAATCTTGGCCCGCCAAGAATACCGCGACCAGCGCACCAGTATTTTGAGCAAGGGACACAACCGGTATACGGATTGTAACCGCATGTAATTCAAGGTAGCGAGCGACAGAAAACAAAATACGAATCCTTAGAAAGTGTATACGTAAAAAAGAGCTTAAACTGCTTTGTTTAGTAATTGTTTAGATTTTATCTGCCGTGAGAAGGCCACACATGAACATCATAACTCATACTGTCTTGTTAAATCGGTTATGGCTAAAAATAAATTCGAAGGACCACAGAGTACATAGAAGAAACTAATGGGAAAATCTATTTATACGAAAAATAAACTTTGAATAAATTTCATAAACAGGATAGCCAAGTGTGTCAGTCTAGCTAGCAAAAATTACGACAATACCAGTGCTATCACATTTGTAAATGAAAATACTTTAAATTAGGATTCAATGAGGCCTTGGACTACCTAACAACACATTACATTGAATAAAAGGGACAGCACGAAAAATAATTCGGGACGATAAATGTAAGTACATTGTGTCCTAAGCTGTACATCCCCCAGATTTGATTTGTACATGTACCAATCACCGCTCTACAACACGATTAAGAATATGCTTAAATTTACTTCGCTTGAAGACGATGTTATTGCAACTAAGAGGGACGAATTCACGACGAAACACACCAGAATATACAAATCGTCGCCAAGAGGGAAGTGTTTTTCAGAAACAACCCTACGTTTTCTTACCAAATAAACCTATGTAATGATTCGAATTGGCGAATTGAAAAAGAGGGAAGACAAAGCATTAAAGGGAAGACAGAGGAAAATCTTATGACAGGAGGAAATACATGAAAGAAGCAAAGAGAGCATCAAAACAACAAAATTCCCCAGTCACAAAATAACGATAACATACATACAGATTTGATTGATACTTCATTGGCTTAGACAGCATGTCACGTATTGAGTCACAAAGTTTTTCCATGTTACGATATTATTTATTGCTGTGCTTAAATAGCAACGTATTGTCGAAAGGGGATGGTAGTCATAGAGTTAACAAGAAGGCACAGCACATAATGATTGTCAGGCTAGTTTAACCTTGTATAAGAGAAAAACTAGTTCACAAGAAAATCTTACATCCAAGAACAAATACACGTCAATGGAATATATTTGGGGAAAGGCATCATAGTCATAAGAACACTGGAGATAGGGCACCATTTTACGTTCGGGAGCATATCACAAAGCTAGGACGGACACCTATGATATAGCGTGAAAATAGGCTTTGGAAGCGCACTAGAGAAAGGGGGTAGCATTAAAGGAATTGGAACGTTTCGGGAAGGAGTTTTGCAATCTCTCTGAAGTATATTGAAATTGACATAGTGGTAATCACAGGCGACCATTATAAGTCAAGTCGCAGTATCTTAAAATGCATGTATTCAATAGAAGTACTTACAGAGAAATCAAATGAAGACGAGTTAAAAGTGTAAAGTGTTCCATGACGCCGATGCCGTTGAGTAAGATTTAGAAGTTATATCGACAACCTAAGGGTATATACAAAGGAGTAAATATCTGGGCGATATTAGAACACAAAAGAGACAGATTTAATCATATGGAAACAATCTAAAAACATTACATCCTTTAAAATTTAAGTTTAAGAAATTTAAAATGTTTAGTATGCCTTGGAAGATTTAAACAAAGTTTTTACTACCTGCACAATTGAAACAATTTTCTTTACATACGTATAATACACAACATTATTTACTTGAATGTTGCGGTCGTTGTCTCAACTTATAAAGTAAACAAAAGGTACTAGTTACGCCTGAGAAACACGGATACCAGCTCTCTAATTTAGAAATCTTAAATTTTTGACTCTTTTAAAAGTGACATTTTTAATAGAGAAATTTATTAAGTAACGGTAGAATATTAATAACACGCCTCTTGAAAATTCATAAGGCATTTTTCAAGTTTGGAAATAACAATTTTGTAGAAAGAACAAGTATGTACCCAATGATAAACCGAATTTATAATAACATAGGTGACCCAGGTTTTCCCACTTGCTGGGGTAAAACCAAAAGTCAAAATTCACTTGATATCTGGTCCGTGGTTGATAAATATCTTCATCAAGTTCTTCTTAAGTTTTTGATTCTTGAATTTGCTGGTCTAGAAAACCATTTCCTACGAAATATACACACCCGCCGGATTGTGAGGCAGTCCGAATTAGCGCCCAGAAAATAGTTGATACTGAAAAGCGAAGAAGAAAAGGGTTATGATTAGACGCATTCTAAAAATCTGGTTCCCGTGATCACACGCCACAAGTTGACGAGCAAACGGAATCACGGGGACCAGCTCTTCAGTCTCACTAACACGTCCAGTGCGGTATGACCCCGTCTTCGGCAGCCGTCGATCAGCATAAGCATCGGTTCTAATTACGAAGTTGAGATTTTAGAATGAGGCTCCCGATGGCAAGAAGTCCTGCCTGCCTATGCTTTGCCGTAGCGCCTGACAGGTAGGCCACATCTTGCATTGCGTGCATGCGTGTACCACGGGGTGGCCTCCCCGAGTCTCGCAGGCGCCGAGTTTCCAAATAAATCTGAGGAAAACGGATAACGGATGTACCATCTGAACGATCACAAGCAGTTCAGAAAATAGGACTGCGCGATATCCAACTTTTGATATTGCACTAAGATATCAAACAAGTATAGAACAACGAACCAATTTGTCGGATTCCAACGTTATCGTACAATATCGAAACAACTCGAAGGGCGATATGCATCAATGTAGACGATTTACCCACAGCAAAATATCGTGGTGTCGAGCGTGGTCAAAGCATATTGACGATTTTTATTTTGTTTATTTTATTTAGTGCTCGTTACATGAATGTCGATATCAGAAGCATGTCACGGAGTTTTAGGCCCAAGATGTTAACACGAAAAAAAAAAAAGAAGATTCGCTAAATCAGCTAATACATTGACTGGTATATGCACAGACAAGCACATACACTACTGTAACCACTATATTGTCTACTCTAATCAATCATTGCACGGAAAAAAATGAATTAGTCGTCAGAACTAAATATTAGTTAATTTCGGGACAATCGATCAAAAAATTGTTGAGGTAACTAATAATTTGTTTTCAGAACCAAGATTAAGTTGTCAGAGCAAGCTGTTCGGTGCTTGAGCTAACGCATTCGTTCTAAAAACAAACCACGAATTGGCTCCTGCAGCAAACGTGCTTGGTTTTAGCGACCAACTCTTGGCTCTGGCAACTTAATCTTGGTCCTGACAACAAATTATTGGTTACCTCAACAATTTTTTGATCGATTGACACGAAATTAACTAATATTTAGTTATGACGACCAATTCATTTTTTTCCGTGTGGCTGTGCAAGTCAAAAATTAGCTGTAAGAGCTTATCCCTTCCCTAAATCAGTCGAGGTCTACCTTACTGATACAGGCAAATCATTATTTCATACAACTTATCTTTGACTGGCACAGCCAATGATTGATTAGAGTAGACAATATAGTGGTTACAGAAGTTTATGTGCTTGTCTGTCCAAATACCAGTCAATATATTAGCTGACTCAGCGAATCTTTTTTTTTTCGTGAAGATCGTATCGATATAAAGATATCGCATAGCAGGCCATAATACCACACTGAACGTGTTAAAATTAGAGTGCAGCAATTAACACGAGTGGCGCGGCCCTTTGAACCGACTCTGTTCAACACCTAGCTACAGCATGCTGCGGCTCACAGACCGCTTGTGTATACAAAGATAAAGGTGCGCAACACACAAAACACTTATGGAAGCGTGACAAACGTCACACAATAAAAAACGTGGGCTAATCATGTCACACATAGAATAGCGTGAAAATCCACGCCAATCACAGATACGTAACAGTCGGAGTAAAGTGTTCAGTTTCCAACACAAAGCCGTGTGTGATGTGCGTGTCACACACACACAGACACACCCTTTGTGTGTGTCCGTTGCCAATCAACTTTAAGTGTATGTCACACACATTCACATTTAGATAATGGATAACATGTCAAGACCCCACGCCCAATTTATACTCCGGACGAAGCTATGCCTTGGCGTGGGGTATAAACTACAGTCACTACTCCACTCCTAGACAAGCAAGCAGTATTCCCACCAACCCACCACCCACCCCATCACCTTCCCTCGTGCTCGTTTCCTTCATGACTCCGGTGGTGCCTTTCCCACTACCGCACTAGCTCATTAGCTGTCTTGCTACACAAACTAGTTTAATAAACGTGCAAATCGAGTAAGAAATTCTACTAAAGAGATTGTATGTGTGAGTGTGTTACCAATAAACTCGTCCGCATCACTACGCGTCAGCGGGTGCAGAAACAAACTAGAACCCACCTCTTAAGGTGAGAGACGCTGCTGAAGGAAGCGATTCGCAAAGCGAACAAAGGCAGCGGCTTGCACGCTAACCGTGTGCTGCGCCACAACGCGGGGTGCGCGTGCCAGTGCCTTCAATAAGCAGCCGACAGGTGAGTAAAGCAGTGACGCGTTTCGTCCGACAAGGGGCAGAGCAGCCAGGGCAGCAGCCCTAGAAAACCCAAAAGGGCTGTGCCTAAAACCCCGTGTTTTAGAGGGGGAGTGAGGGAGCGGGCGAAATCGTATGGGTCCGAAGAGAATCTGGATTGGCCATTGACCCCTAAGGACCCCTTGAAATTTTTACCCTGGGGTACAAATATCATGGGGCAACTATCGACTTCAATGACAGTCCTGGCCCCTTTGAAACCCCATAATATTTGCCCCCCCCTAGGTCACGTGGTTTGGGCACAGCCCCCCGCACATAGCAAAGAGAAAATAAAAATAACGTAAAAAGAAAGCCGCCATATATCTTGAGGCGATATAAACGAGCGTATCGACAGGCGTTGCTGCTGCTGCTCCGCCCCTCTCCAGACTCGCGAGGCATGCATGTGCGGGGCGACGCGTGGCGGCGCTAGGAGCCGTGCTACGCAAAGAGAATGAGGAGGAGCGGGCGTGCCCGCGCCTCCAAGGCCGCCGAGGTCGCCGACGGCGGTCGACGGCCACGAGCAGCGCGGGTCGCGTCAACTCCTCCCCCAGCCAGACGCCGAGGATGGTCCTTACATGGGGTGGCGAGGGCACCGAGGAGTGGGCCCTCCCGTTGCCGGGATGCTGGGGGGACCCGGACCCCATGTGGGAACCGACGGAACCCATGGGGGAACCCATGGGGGACCCTGTGAATTGCCTTACCATGCCGGTGCCTAGTTGCTGGAGCAAGCCTGAGCCTTGAGAGCCGCCCAGGCAGGCAGACGGCCTTCGCGACCTCAGGCTGCTCATAGACGAGCTGAGGAAGGGCGTACTGGAACTCGTGTTTGGCATGCTGCCGCCCTGGAAGACAAGAGGAGAGTCAGTACACTGTGTATCGATGAGGCGACCTCGTCTCGGCTGTCCCGAGCCAGACGGAAAAAGTCGCGCGTGACCAGAGTTCGGCCAATCAATAGTGTAAACTGGATGTAAAGTTTTAAATGGTTTGGAGTTCTCTTCATTAGGGATCGCCCGTTTTTCTCAGATTCATTCGGGTGTTTACAGGAGCTTGGCGCCTGCGAGATTCAGGCTAGGCCAACCCGCAGTACACGCATGCTCCACAGACAAGATATTGCCTACCTATCAGGCGCCAGGAGAGCTTGCATTGGCTGATATTGGACGTTTTGTAAGTGCAAATGGCGGAACTACTTTCTTGACGACCCCTTATCGTTCATCAAACGACAACCGAGAAGAGAGCGTCGCTTTCTGAATGGAGCAAAATTGTGGAAAAATGTGAACTAGGCGGTAAAATTACATCCAGCATACACGACCGATTATATGGGGTGACCCACGGACCCCTGAATATTTAGTAATACATTGTAGTTATGCTGAGAGCACGGTACACCGTATACGTGTGCCGGCAGGTTGTCTGCAGTCCGCCTGGGGCCACAAGCCGCCATATTGTCGCTCACGCGGTAGGCAACGCAGCACATACTCCTGCGAAATAGTCAAAGGTTCGTGGGTCGCCCCCTTGTAAAGTGAAAATGACGTTAAAGTGGAACATTCAGGGGGAGAGAGAGGGGTGTGTGAAGTGCGAAAAAACGAAGTATTTAAGAAGTGCTCTAGAAGAGAAGTTTTTACTTCAAGATAATTATCGTGGTTTCGTGGGGGAAAGCGCATGCGGTAGTAATAATTCAGACGTGCAAGGAGGTAAGACGGAAGCACTCCACGCACAAAATATCAAAAAGGGGGTCGAGATGGAACATTGCAATCGTGTATAAAACACTTTTGCAAAAACATGCGCTTTCACCGAATACGACATGCTGAATTTTGCTGGCAGGGCATACTTTCGTGATAACAGAAAATCTGCGGAGGAAATTACAAATCGCGGGAAAGCTACCGGCTATTTTGGGGGTGCGTCTGGGATCAATTGAAGTGTTACAGGGGACTACCGCGCATGAGAGCACATTCAGGTAAACAGGAGTAAACAGTGAACAGTCCAATAGATAGCAGGGTGTAAATCCACTGGTCTTACGGTAAATGCAGGCTTAAAAAAGATGTGATCTACTCTAAAGGAAAATGTCGCAATTTAAAAACAAGACAATCAAGAGATGATCATTCTAGGAGAAAACGAAAGAAAAACTACCATCCAATTGAAAACCATGCACATGCTAGAATAGGCACAGTCAGCTGCAAGCAATCGACAGGCGATTTGGGTTTTACTTTCAAACAGAACGCTAAGATAGGACAGCAAGACTACATGCAGACCAAAATGGCAGCACAACGCTGATACTCACGATCATGCTCCGTGCAAGCTGCAGAGAAAGAAAGAACACAAAGCTGCGATGAGTCAAAGGCGGTCAGCCGGCACACGCGCCCCTAGTACTCAAGCACACCCTTGATGCAGTCATTGCACGGAGCATAACAACTCAAACAAAGTTCGTATTGCGGCTTTCAATTTCCACGCCACTTTTACAAATGTTGTAACTTATGGGCTGTTTTTAAGGCAAGGCCTGCATCAAAAAGTGCGCTTGCCCACACTCATTCGAATTACGACATAAAGGCCGTATCATGCTAGCCCTCTCTTCAACCAAACTAAATTAAAGGTACACAATTTTAAGAGGAGTAAATAATTTTGTAATATGTTTACCAGTTACCAGAAAATTTACCAGTTTTTACAGTGTCTTTTTTAAATATGTCAACAAAGAGCAAATGAGTGATATCAGAAGAGAGAGCACAACATAAAGCCGGCGAGAAATAACAGTATAAAGGGTTCATTTTCACCCGGTGAAAGAATTTAGAAAGACAGAAGAGAAGACTTTGAAATTTCACATTTACAAGATCTTCAACTTGGTGCACTGCAAACTCCAATGAAATGTAATGTCAGTGCAGACGTTGAAGTCTAATGGGTTTTTCCGATAGAGTCTGAAGCGGAAGAAGACCAGGGGGTTATCAAAATAAGCATCGGCCGACCGGCCGACCGATCGGCTGACTGACCGACCGATTGGCCGACCGACCGACCGGCCGGCCGATGTTTCCGAGCGCGCGAAAAATCTTGGTGTAAAGTGCTGACCCAAAAATTTGCAAATTTGTTACGTTTCAACATGAGAAAAGTCAGTTTTAGAAGCGCCACGGACACTTGCAGTTGCTCGCATTACTTTGCCACTTTATTCTAGTGCGCCTCACGGGCGTTATAAACGGTGCATCTCAATGTTTGTTACAGAATAATGATCCCCACACTTCCCCCTTTCCGAAAATGTGCGTGTCACCCACTTTCAACACGTTTTTCGCGCTCTCGGAAAATCGGCCGGTCGGCCGGTCGGCCGATGCTTATTTTGATAACCCCCAGAACTGGGAATTAGAAAGGAATCCGCAGTGCTCCGCCCACCGGGAGTGGGGGCCTTTCCGCCTTTCGTTTCTTTCACCCTCTTCCGCTTAGCGCTCTAGCGGAACCCTACCCTACAGGCTTCGTGATTCGATACCTGTCCATTTCCAGTACCATTGAACAATACAAGGTTACGGGAATTTAGTCAGAATCGAATATCGGAGCAAAAAGAAATCACAGGTAAAGTTGAAGGGTGGTGCTGCAACACTCTCCGAAAAGGAAACTCACATAAAGAATTACACAGAATTACGACATTTTCCTCACGATTTTAGAAGAGTATTTGAAATTTTTTCCAGTTTCCTTTTCGAACTGTGACAACTTGCAGGGAACCACTAGATAGAAGAGAGATGTGCAGCAGCTCTGCATAGACCGACGAGTCGAACCACACTGATAGTGCAGCAGGGCCCTCAAAATGCAAGTGACCAAGGTGAGGAGTCACCATACTGGTTTCTGTGACGGTCCATGCATGAAGAAAGTGAGCAAAACAAGGAAAGGAAAGGAAAGACAGTGACACAAGAAACACGCCAAAATATCACACACGGTGTCCCTGGTAGGGGCATAGTAGAGATATGCGAACCTGATCATACAGTAAAATGAGTTTCACAAAAAATACATTTTGAGATAAACTGTGGTGAAGTTAAAAAAATTTTCGATCGTTTCGCACATCTCTAGATAACAAATCAATCACACAGAAGAACACGACGGGGCGCTGTGCTAAGCTCGTGCACGCTGGACGCGGGTGAACAACACCGCCCCCAGCAACCAACCAATCATCAATCGAGGAATTATTCAACACTGAAAAATATCGTTTGAACGACTGGTTGATTCAACCCTCAAGACAACCCAATTTTGTTACGGTTTAGAGCGAATGCCAAAATATTAAGAAGAGTATGCTTTCCTGATGCGTCGAACCAACCACTCGATCGACACGACAGGAACATTTATTACAATTAATTTATGAAAAGAGGATGATGTGAGTTATTGCTTAGCGAATAGTTTGGTTACTGAAAGGGGGCAGACTTCTACTACTCTCAGTCCCATTCTTACCAGTATATTAGCTCATAACGAAGTATATTGTTTGGACAGTTACTTTTTTCAAATAGATATGGTTCTTATAATTTTTTCATTGATGTCAAGTCGGTGTCCGAAGATATAAAATTAAGGTTGTGTTTATGTTACTCGCGGAATGATGGAATGTATAATAGATGGTTAAAGTTTAACATTGAATAGGACCCTCCCTTGAATTTGTACTTCCTACATGTATATATAAGGGATTGGATTAATGTTTACACGATTGACCGTCGATTGGTGTAAGCAGACCGTCTGGTCGAGTGGTCTATAGGCAGCGCATGCAATAACCACAAAATACTACACACTTTTGCTTCTCAACTTGTTAATAGAGGTGAATGGCCAACCAATCAATGCGATCCATGGTAAGAGTTTGTGACTCATTTTGATTAAATTATTAACAGCAAGATCGCAAATATTGGGTTCCTGTGAAGGGATATCACTGCAAAGGTGCTCAAACTTGGAAATTAATTACTACACGCGTTGGGCCGCTAAAGGTGTATGAAAGCGATAGGCAACAATAAACAAGCTTTGAGCACCTTAATTGGTATTATAGCTGTGTTAGGTTATTTCTACTGTGCTGTAGGGCAATATGTTCGACTACTTTGTGATAGTGCTCGTATGGCCTTCATGGGAAAGCAATGTTTAAATGGTACAAGATTTCTTTGAAAGGCTTAGAAAGAAACCAAACGTTATATTGAACTAACACTTGAGTTATTTTAAATTGTGTTTTTCCGTCACATCATCCTTAGCAAGAAAACTACAATATATTCAAAAACGAAAAACAAATAGTTATGTGCATTTCCGTCGCACTCGAGCCGATTTAGCAATAAACAGCACAATAACACGTGTGCCGAGGTGTGGCGAGTGCACTTGACTACTATAATGAATGCGCTATAAGAATTCTAGTTACACTAGTGCTAAAGCCTGTACTGCAAGGTCTGTGGAATAGAACCCTTCGTCTAGATCACAATGAGCCAACAAATTCAAGCCCGAGATAGCAAATTTTCATGAAAATTATTTTAAATTTGATACACTATTAGTATAGCGCCATTTCTTAACTTGGAATGCCTGTATTAATGTATGGAAATATATCATGCTTCAAAATAATTTTTCTGGGGTGAGGGGGTAATTTTGGGGGTTGAAACTAAATAATGGGATCCTCTCAGTTAACTAGGGGAGACTTATTATTGTAATGGCTCGCCTGCTGGAACGAGAAACATACACACATTCCATACACAACGAACACGACTCAACAACGTGTGACCAAACAACCATAATAATTATGAGCGATCGGCACAGCCAGACAGAGCAGCGATAGGAGAGTAGCAGAGCTGGACTTACATAGGCGGCTGGCACCGAAAGCGTTGAGCCCTCCCTCGAGACCGAGCCGTGGTAGAAGCCCGCCCCCTGTGTGTGACAGAGCGCAGTGTGCACTACATGCTTGGATCGCACCCACACCCACACCAGCCATACATCATTTGAACCATCACTACAAGCTATCCATGTCCCGCTGCAGCACCTGAAATGTGTTCTCCTTATGAAAACTTCTCAGAAATATGTTTGCACGGTTTGTATATCATTGGTGTCACGAATAGGTGTGCCTTACAACATGCGTGTTTGTGTTTCTCGGATATTCGAGTACTTCTTAAAATGTACTTATGTTAGCATAGCTACTAAGGAATTTCCAACCCTAAGATATTTGTAATCCAATTCCATAAGTGAAATTTTGCGCAAATGTTACCGGAATATAATGGGGCAAGCCTCCTTAAAGCAAAAAATAACGTATTTCATTAAAATTTTAAGCCGTGCACAAAAGCTAAGCTGCATAGATTTCTTGCATCTGTTCATTATGTTTTACTGGAAAGAAAGGTCCACCTAAAACCCTTTAGCGCGCTTCAAAAATCTATCACCGCATAGTCCAGAAACACACTATCTGAAGGATATCATAGTTCTGCTAATAATCTAACAGATTGACATACAATAGAAGAACGCTCCGTTATAAGACATATACAAGCCAATCGAGGCATTGGACGATTTAAATGCTCAGAAGCAGTACAGCGGAACGGGTCACCGTCATTATAAAACCCACGAAATTTCCTACCTTTCAGGCTTCTGTGGCCTCCCCATGTGGACGACCTCGAAAAGCCACATGTAGGGCTACTGCAAAGTGAAGGGTTGATTCATTGCAAGGTTACAGTCAGTAGTCGAACGGCAGGCCCCGACAAAAAGCACCATCAAAAAGAAACAAAAAAAAGTGACGTCCAAGAGCTGTATTAGGAAACCATTTGATTATATTTGAGCACAAGTGTGGATGCGCAAGTATTAAAATAGGCAACCACAGGACACTGTAGAAGGGTTTCTGGACTATGACAGCGATCTCAGATTACGTCAATTTCGAAATGTTATATTATTTTTTATTGGTGTTGGTTGGACATTGAACTACTCTATTTTTCTACAAACACGGTTGATCTAGGCACATGACTACCATAACGAAAAAAAAAATATGCAAATATCTCACACGTTGGCCTCTTTGAAACTCGGTTGCTGACTTTCGGTAGAATGACCCTAATGTTGCGACACGAGAGCAACCTCCTTGCTTGATAAAGTCCCATGACGTTAAGGTAGACACCCAGAAGTAGGCTTGGCTGTGGGCTGTGAGAGCTGAGGATACATTAACGATTCAAAACCATTTAACGAACGGAGAAGGCAGATTTTATGTTTCATAAAATAATAAGTTTGACGAGGAACAGATTTGATCAGAAAAATAATACGATACTGGGAAATTTAAAGAGTTCACCAAGCGAAGGAAGAAGAACAAAATCGGAACGGAGAAAGGCGCCCGACCACCCGCTGCCCTACTCCTTCCGGGCCCGTGAGAGTGAGGGAGAAACCGCTGGGGCTGGAATGGGGGTGGAGGCCGCAAGACGCGAAAGAGCGGAGCAGCACCTAGGACACTTTTCACATTCCGGCGTTGTTCTTCTTACTTCCCCTCGACGCCTTAAAATGCCTTCTAGTCAATTGCCCCTTACCAACATCGCGGCAGTTAAAATTGTGACGAGGCACTCACATTAAAGGCAAACAGAAAGCAAGTTGTTGTCAACTTTGTTGAAATTCGATACAAATCCTGCGGGAATTAACATTGAAATGAAGGCCAGGTAAATAGAGAACACATACTTTCCCTTGCCACTAACTGTAATATTTTTGCACACAGAGAAAGATACAATACTGCTGGAAACAAACACCCCGTTAAAATGGAATTAAATTTTAAAACAAAATAAAAAGAACCCTATGGCAGTACATAGGAAAAATAAATGAATCCTGAGTGCAATTGTTTTGCCTCCGTATAATCTCTGCCTATGCTGCGAAAAGACATGGTAGTAGACTTGCTCCCTTAAACTAACAGCAGGCTTCTCGCTTACCGTTGGTGGGGACAGGTTGGTGCTGGAGCCGCGCCTCTCCTGCGGCCCGATAGACGAGTGCCTCCGGATCGGAAGGCCGCCGGGCGAGCCTCCGGGCGATGAGGCACAAGAGTGTGCCACGCGGATCTTTGGCGTCATGAGCGTGTTGTCCGACAGCCGGCGGATAGGCAGTGCATTTTGGACACGCAAGAAGTTGCTGTCTGGAGAATTGGAGCTGCCGCCGAACCACCAACCACCCAGGATGCCAGAATCTACGGATCAGAAAGAGAGAGAGAGAGGGGGGGGGGGTGGAATATCAGGTCACAGTATCTCTAAGGTTGTTCATCTACCAAGCAATGGTGCTAGTAAGTAAGAGTGAAGAATTTTGCGTTCCGTTTCCTTTCTATCGTTACTGCTACAAGCAGTAAGAAAAACACAGCGCAGAATGAATTTTTACTAGCACGACCACTGGCAAAGTGACACTATAAACCACACGTAGCGTTCCGTTGACTCTGAGAGAATACTAACACGACCCGGTTGAGTTCTTTCGCGCCATATCTTCTGCGCTTGACGTCTTTCTCTGCTCTACGCGCAGATTTGGAATGTTGAAAGGTGGCACATGCATATTGTCGGATGAAAAGAGGTGTCGAAGAGGCCGCCTTTCTGGACTTGGTAACGACATATTGTCAAGTTTTAGTTTGTTTCGCTGATTCCTGTTGAAAAGGTTTTGTTTGAGCTGATACTGATAAAAAAACACACACAACAAAAGTCATGGTATATAGTTACCTATCTATTTGTTCGAGCATCTCCCGCAGAACTTGTAATAGCATAGTGAATTGTTCCAGGTTCAGCTGTGGGTTTACAGTCTGAGGAAGGAGCACTGGCATAACCCTTGTCGCCATGTGGTTTACTGTAAGTCCATATTTCTTGTCTCTCAGTAGCAAGGCATAGATACCTGTAATAATGAACATTAACATATCAATCTTTACACAATTGAGGAGGGCAAATCGAAAGTATTGCCGAAATACGATCTCTACAAAACGAATTCTTTTAATTATGTACAGGGTGTTTCGGAGCAGGCGTAGTTCTCCTAATCCCTCTTCCAGTCAGGCACTGTGGCCACTGTAAGAGGCAAACCCGCGCGCAACGAAACACCCGGTTTGACCCTAATTTTACTTACAGACCACCCTGTACATGATTTCGGGATCGCTCAATCTGACTTCCGTCAGAAGGGGCAACACCTGGTCTAGAATTAGTGGACGGTCTAGACGATCCAGAATGCGTTCCACGCAACTGAGAACGGCTATAGTTATCTTTAAATCAGCAGTATTTTGATTGAAGACGGACACAGTCCGTGGAAGTATCATATGTCGTATTGCCTGTTCATCGATGTAATCAGCCACGTTTGTGACCGAAAACAGTGCAGCTGACTGAAAACATTAAAAGAACAAAATGAAACATATTTCATCTTTGCTTACACCTGAGATCCGAAACAATTATTACCTGCACTTGAATGGTGGTGCTCTCAAAAGCATTGTAAAGAACTCTTAGGACTTCCGCTCTCGCCTCATCCTTCTGCGTCTTTTCAAGAATTATATGTAAATTTTCAAGCAAGCAAACAGTTGCCTGAATAGTCTTAGGTGACGTTAGAACAGTTCTAAGACAAAAAAGTTATTTTTCAATAAAATTTTTGGAAACTCAATAATCATTAGGGATCATGCAGAAAGTACGCCCGTCATTCGCTTCGCCGTTACGGAACTACCAAGGTAGGCCAATTCAACCTCTCATAGTGCCCGATAGGTAGGCAACATCTTGCATGTAATGCATGTATGTACTGCGGGCTGGTCTACCCTGAATCTCACAGGCGCCGACCATGAACGGGCGATTTTTTCAAAGACTATGAGTTACCTGAACGATTCTTGGATGTACATTTCGTACTCTTCTATTCCAACATGTTCAATCATTAGAAGAATAGGTTTTAAAACTGCTGCTAACACTTCAGATTGTTTCATTTCGGCTTCCAGACAAGGCCATACGTGTTGGAACCATAATTTCTGAAATGCAAAACAACAAATATTAAAAACACTAATATTAATTGAGTATGCGCAAGTATAGAGATGGGCGAACAATCCAGTTCGAATTTAAGGGAACAAAATCAGCCTTACAATCTTTGAACCAAACTAAACAGCAAAATTTTCTCTCAAACAAAACAAACCGAACAATTCTGTTTAAATCATCGGAGCGAACGAGCACATTTGTTACAATTTGCGGCTTTGCTCAAATCCCCTCCCCTCCCATCAAAGTTGCTAATATGTTACAATGTTTACAAATTTAGAAATTTTGATAAATGTTGGCATTTTGAGCGAGAATTACTACTTATAGCATTAGACGCTTGCGCCAAAGTGTAGATATTTTCTTTTCATTTAAAAGTCATCGAGTGATACGCACTTCAGTTCTTAAGTTTGCAACTGAAGGGTGTCGTGGTTCCCGATACCCATTTGCGGCGCCAGTCCGGAGCGGGGGTGCGGTGCATGAGGCTAAATTGTCAATAATTCGTTTACGTTACTAGGGGCCAAAACTTGCGGTAGCCCGACGGTGTCGAGGCCACAGACTAGACAGCACTTTAGACATACATTGATTTCCAAGCAAGGCGAGGAAAACACGGAAAACAAATCGTATTTCACCATGGACTGCTCACCGCACCATGGCGCTTATATTATGCATCAAAGCGAGCAAGATGGCCCCCAGCCTCTTAACACTGACTTCAATTGTTCGCATGTGGACCTCTTTTCGAACAGTTCACGCACATTTTGGATCCTAATTCGAGCGGTCACGAACAGTTTCAGGTTCATTCGAGTTCGATCGAATACGAATATGTTCGCTCATCTATACACAAGCAGCTGGTACATGTATGAGAAAAATCTTTAGCTCACTCTAGGGATGTAGGGAAGACTGTCTCGAAGAGTTTGACGGTAGAATGCGTTTTTCTGTTGGGGATCTTTCATTTGGATGACATCGAGAAATTGAAGAGTTGTCACAACTGTGTCAGTGCTGCAAAACAAATAATTTTGAAAGCACTGTGAGTCAAAGCCCTTGCACACGCAGCTATTTCTTATTCACCAGGCAACTTACGTAAAATACTTTATGAGGGTAAGGAGTTGTGCGGTAGGCCTTTCTTTGGGGTCTTTGTTGAGCAGTCTCACGGTTGCCTCTCGAAGAGGAAGAGGAATGTCAGGCACCACCATTTTCACATGTTCGTCGAGCTGCTCAAGCAATTCAAAATTTTAAATGCATGACAGACAAAATAAAGTCTAGGTTAAAAATGTCTAAACATACTGCTCACCGTTTCTAAGTGACGTTGGAAACTTGTATTAGAGTTGTTGGCTTGCATTAGAGGACGTCCGTGGTTAAAAATGGCGGTGATGACCATTCCCAGCGAAAACATATCGCTCTGCATGCATATTTGTGAATGAAGCTGTACTTCTGGGGCTGTGAACAGAGCATGACCTTAACTGCGATACCAATTCAAATAAGCACTCTGACTTACACCAGATTTTTTTTCGTACCTATGTAATCTAAGTCTGGTTGACAAAGCTTCGAAGACCTTGAAGTCCATGGAGTGATGGGCACGGGCTCAGTGGGGTCCGCCTCGTTCAGTCGTTCTGAAACCACACGGAGAAAAATATTTAGTTGGGACAACGAACAGTTTAGTTGATTTTCGGATAACTAAATAATTTTCGTTGTGACAACGAACAAACTGTTGTTGAGAAAACTACCTCTCTACTAGTTTAGTCAACTGATATGAACCAGTTTCCACAACGAAAAGTTTTTGGTGTCTGCACAAATGCGCCTTTTGTCCACTTTTCTAGTGATCTGTATGTACACGGGACTCAACAGTTTCGTTCGGATAACAAACACCACGGTGTTTCGAAGGGAGAATCTTCATTGATTTCTGATCAGGTAATAGAATTTACAAGGCGGGGTGTCTTCCTTGCGAACATGATGTACAGTTAAAGGCGTTAACCGCATCAGCTGGTATAAAAATAATCTCCATCAGGTTTCGGAATGACTCCTATACCCATATTCTGATTGAGGAAGGTCAGGGTGCCATAGAAATGCTGCTGGCTGCACCTATCGCGCAACATTTCGTCGTCAGTTATGCTAAAGCGCCCTCTATCGGCTCGGCAGTGCATCTTTGGTCGCAGACGGTAGAGGGCGCTTTCGCATAACTGACGACGAAATGTTGCGCGGGAGGTGCAGCCAGCTGCAGCACAACAAACACTGGGTACGCTCCGCCCTTCCCCAATCTTCCACCGTACGGAGGGGACGGCAAAGTTGTTGACATCGTCACGTCATCGTTACGTCATCGTTTTTGACAAAATATAACCAGTCGATCCTAATTTTCTTAAGTGGAACTGTTTCCGGCAATGGTGTTCCAGTCGAACTCCATGTTCGAATCGTCTGATTGCACGGTTGTGATCGAACTGATTCTTTACGTTGGTAGAGTCATTAAGTGTTGTAAACTGAGCAGCAGGTCGCAACGCCCCCAACAAGTTTTGGAAGTGAGCGAGCGACAAAGTTAGTTGAGGGAACGAACGCCTTTCTTCGTCTGCTTGTTAGTTGGCAAAACTAGTACACGTTGTTAACTTAACCAGTTTGTTTAATGCTCCTCCCAACGCACATAGTGTGCTGCTTCAGCAAGGTGACATTGCCTATGCAACCAAATATTATGCTCACTAGACACTTATATGCAGATACAGCAAACGTGCCCACTACGATAACAGAAAGTTTGTATCCTCAACGAACACTTTTAGTTATCCGAAAATCAACTAAACTGGTGGTAGTTCCAACTAACAATTTGTTGTCTCAGCGAATCATTTTTTTCCGTGCACAGAACCACAAGCGTGTCAGGAACAGAGCCTCTCCTCTCGAGACCCAGACTACAAACTAGAGGCTCTCCGGGCGGGACATCTAGGGGGAAGCAAACAAGCCGGCGGAAACTAGCAAAGACTCTAGTTTTGGATTTCGTTTGTGTCTGCTCTCGGTGCCTTCCAGCCGGGTGCGCAGAGCGCCCTGTCGCATGCACGCCGACCACAAGCCGGAAATTTGCTCCGAACGGCTCGCGCATGGCCGCAGTGGTGAAGCGGCCCCACCGGTCCCCACCCGGGTCGGTCCAACGCTGCTCGCCGTTGCGACTAGTGCGACAAGAAACCACCCGCCCATATACCGGCGCTGCATCGCTCCGACCGTACTGTAACACTAATATTGTGCTCAAGTTAGCCATACTTGTAAATAGATTTACGGCAGTGCGAATATCTGCGACAGCCACTCCCCCTCCTTTTCGCTCGGCCGGTCCTGTCCTCCTGCTCCTGCTGCTGCTGGGGAACATGCTCGGCCAGCTCAAACCAAACAATGAGCGTCGCACTGTGTACTCTGCAGTAAGCCCCCGAAGCGGAAGGAGCAACTTTTTAATAGGTTTGCGTGGGCATGGTCTATGGCTGCGCGCGCGCCGCGTCGTCCAACTTTACAGACGCCGTACCATCCGTGACACACAAAACTTGTGATCAGGTGCGGAGCCGAAATGGAAACGCAAAAAAAATAAAAAAATATAAATGAATTGTCGATGATTATTTTGTTTATTGTCTTTTCAGTGAAGCACAAAACTGCACTGCAAACCCATGGAAGAGTTTACTTATTGCCGTAGTACAAACATGTCAGTCTGCGCTGACCATACCCTATACACCACCACAAACGGCGATAACGTTTAGATATCACATGTCATTTGGACTTTGTGTCGCTTGTCGTCACAAAAAAGAGGGCAAAAAATCGACACGCAATATCACAACAATATCGTTTCGATAACGCAAAAATTTCGCTGACGATCTATTTTTGGTGGTGTAGTACACACGTATTAAAGTGAGTACTTGATATAGCACACACTTCATACCAGTGTGCTTGCAAAGTACACACTGTTTGCAGTGTATACAGTTGGCTGCCGTGATGAGGCCTACCCTCGCACGTGTCGCCCGGTGGCTGACGGGCTGACGGCCCGGCCGCTGCGGTTGCACGTTTGCCATTTCCGCGTATCGGGCGGCCCCGCGGGGCAGAATCACCGGCGCAAGAGGCACAAACAGCAGCAGGTGGACCAATCAGCGCGCGGGCCGCCTGGCTATGTCGCCGCCGCCCACGACGACACCGTCCAGCTAGCAGCGGCCCGGAGGAGGAGAAGGAGCACGGGGAGGTTGCAATCAAGCGATTATTCAGGCGCACCGAGATCAAATTACAGCCGAGTACCGCCGAGGGCCGCCGAGGGCCGCCGAGTGCCACCGAGTGCCGCCGAGTGCCACCGAGTGCCGCCGAGCACCTCCGAGCACCGCCGAGCACCGCCCGAGCAGCACGTGGGATGCGTTCCTCCGTGTAATGGGGGTGACCCGTGTACCAGAATAGCTCCGGCTCGGTACAGAGCAGCCCCGCCCCGCCATTACCCCGGACGACATGTTTATCCCGGAGCAGCGGTCTCCATCGCGTCGTCGGTCCTTATCGATTAGAGCGCGCGCGGACATTTTTAAACCTCCCGCGCGCTCGGTAGGGGAAAGGGGAAAGGAGGAGGGGAGAGGAGGGTCAAGCCGAAACGAAACGAGACCGGGGAACTCGAATGTGTGTGTATGTGTGGGTGTGGATGAGGTGGGCAGACGAGCGGTATGGCGTCATACTCCTGAAGGTCTGAAGCTGAAGACTGGGAGAGAGAGAGAGAGAGAGAGAGAGAGAGAGAGAGAGAGAGAGAGGTGCAGGGGGGAGGAGGGGGAGGGGGGAGAGAGGCGGAAGGGAAAAGCAGAGAGAGAAAGACGGTCAGATGCTGGTGTGGCATGGCCCATGCCATGACAGCCTAGCACCCCGACCGACCCGTGCAGCACGAGCGCGTTCGGGTTGCCTATCCTACACTTCGCGGGCGCTTACCCGGTCGATCCGCCTTCCCGCAGTGTGGGTTGTGGGTACCATTGGTGTCGTAATGACACGATTTCAAACGATAAAATTATAAAAACCAACATGGCACCGAGTGTATTGTATGGGAATTCTTCGACGAGCAAAATCGATACGACTTTTACATCATCGTTTGTAAATCGTAAACTGCAAGTAAAAGTAATGTAAATCGCCGCAAAATGTTTTCCACAGTGGCAAAGTCTCTATCAGCTACGGCTCTGCGGCGCATTAAATTTTTACCCCTCCCAGTCGAGGAAAGAGATACGAAACAGGGAATTGGGGGGGGGGGGGGATGGAGGAAAGAGGCAAGGGGCGGCAGTCTGGAGGTGAAAGCGAGTAACTGCCGCGCCCCGACGTTATAATGCTGGTCCAGCCTAATTTACGGCCGTACCCCGGGGGGGCCAGGGCCAGGGCCACGGCCAGGGCACCAAGGTCTTCTCCACAAATAATAAAAAGGTGTGACACACAATCACAAGAAGTGCCCAGTGACAAAAAGAAAGCACAAACGGCAGCGCAGAATCAAAGTGAGACACCATGATGTCGTGCTGCACCACCTGCTTTTACCTTTGCAACGAAGCAGGCAGGAGGTAGGACGAGGAAAGAAGACGAAAGGAAAAGGACATGGCCAAAAGACACACCGCTAATTATATTTACCACCTACTCTCTTCAACAAAGTTTTATCTTTACCATCTTGTTTTTTGTTATTTTTTGGTAAACGAAAATGAGTCTCGAGGGGCAAAGTTGGGACCAACTGCGCGCACCGGGCGTACCCACTCCCCCTCTTCCCTTAGCAGCAGGCGGTAAACGGCCGATTCCAGGAGTTTGGCGATTTCCCACTCCCGGCTCTCTAATGCCCGCCCTGCCCGCCCTGGAGCCTCGGATGGAGCGCGCCCAGCCCAGGCCCCGCCGCACCCATCTCTCTAAACTCTTGCAGTCTCGCACGCAGCATATCTTAATGGTAGTTGCGACCTCCGACCCGGCACTGCGTCACTTCTGCAGCCCGGGGGCACGAACCGTGCGCCCCACACACACTGCCACACTTGGCCACCCACACCCGTCAAAAATATCTTTAGAAATTACTAATTTACGAGTGATGTTGTATACCTTTACGAGCACGATTATGAATCGATTTTCACGTAAAAAAAAAGGTACACAAAATCATTTTTTTAACTTAACAATTTGAATTATGAATTCGAAGCAATTATAACCTTTGTTAGGTGCGAACACTTGGAATCCCATTTTGCACGACAAAATCAGTTAACATGCATCTTGGGTCAAAATCTAGTGGAAAAATTTGCAGTCAAGAGAACCGTTGTGCTCTAAATCACAACGAGACAATTATGTGAAACAAGGAGGAGGAGGAGACGGGGCTAGAAAGGGCAGAGGAGGTCGCTGGACGGATTCAAACCCCGCGGGAGGACGGGCCGCCCCGCCGCCGCCTCTGCCGCCGGAGAGAATAAAGACATGATGGAGACCGACAGAAGGGCGATGATTTAGGGAACCGAGAAGCGCCCTAAACAGGCTACGGCACAGCAGCAGCAGCAGCAGAGACCCCAAGGGAAAGGCGGCTCGCATCCTTCGGCTTGTACTACACACTCTATACGTACTCGCGGCGCGGCGCGAACCGTCATCACTGGCAGCCTGCTACACGCCGGCCCCCCAGCGGAGCACACACGCACACACACAAGCGCGTGTTAGTTATTGTTACTGCGGCAGCGCCATGATCCCCAGCATCGTGCTGCCGCCGCGCGCTCCCAGGTACATTATCGGGGTTAAGTGGCACTAGGGAGCGCCGGCCGCGACATAACTTGTTACACAAAACACACACACAAAAAAAAAAAAACACCTTGCTCCCGCGCACCCTTCACGCGCTCCTTACAGAAAACAAATTAATACAAAAAAAAAAAACAACACAAAAAGGTCGGTATAAACAGAAACTTGAAAACGGGAGAATGGGCAGAGCAATGCGTCTTTCTTCTGTTCTTGCCTCTTGCGCGGCACGAGCGAGTGAGAGAGGGAGTGTGCTATGAGAATGTACAGAAATAAAGACAATAGGCGCCGGGGCGCAGGAACGTGCGGAGGCGTGAAAGCCAAAGCACTTTCTCTTTTCCAGGGATCGAAAAAAAAGATGGGAAGGAAGAAAATTAGTTGCAAAAATCGAAAGTCTTCCTCCTCCCGCGGAGGCAGAAGAGCGGCGTCCAAAGGCGGGGTGAGAAGCAGCGGGCTGAAAGTCGCCTGTGGACGCGAGCCTTCCAAGTCTTCTGCCGAGGCGCGCCCGCCCCGCCCCGCACCCCGCCCCGCGCCCTGCCCACGCGTTCCAATTTGCCAAGGATATTTCTCGGGGCGTCGTCGTCTTTATGAGACATGCGCCGCGCCAATATGGAGGTGCGCGGGCGGGGCGGGACTGGCAACGACCCTATCGGGTCGGGCGGGGTCGGGTTTAGGGCTTCAGCGACCCGAACATAAAGAAGAGCAGGGGCGCCGCTAAAGAGCGGGGGAGGGGGTGCTCCTCTGGGCAGCCGGGAGAGTCAAAGAAGGAAAAAGAGAAACCACCGATCCAGGGCGCCATTTCTCTGATTAACGTTCAAATCACACGCCCCCCGAACGCGGAAACGCGGAAAGGGAAACAAACGCCACACGCGGAAAGATAGTGAAACAACGTCGAAAGAGTGATAATCGACGAGGAAACAATGTCGTTTCGACGTACATCGATCGGATATAGTCATTTCTCAGCGGGGTCTGGCCGCCTGCCCGCTCACCATGACGATGAGATGAGAAGGGGGAGGAGGGGGGGGGGGCAGGTCGCGAGGAGCAGAGCAGCAGACGGTCACGAAAAAAAAGGGAAGCGAATTAAAAGGCAATTACGCTTACCAAGTGGCCCAACTCGTTTTGCTCGGCTTTGTCGTCGTCGTTCGCCCCGACAGTCGCGAAATTCTCTCACTCGTTTCGCATTATTTTGGCCACTCGGCGGGCGGCACTCGGCTGAAGAAGACGTCGTCGAGAGGCCTCGCCGTACGGTGAGAAGTGGTTGGGAGAGGAGGCCGGGGGGAAGGAGTAGTGTGCACTGCATTCAAATAACTGAGCACGCCCGCCCGGCCTGACCTTGGCTGTACTAATGCTCGCCGGGTGTCGCTCCTTCACAGTAGTGGACACGGACGCCCTTCAGTCGAGTGGGGGGTCATTTCCCCCGGCCCTGATAATATTCTAGTCACCTCGCCTGATGGTCGGATTCCGCGCTCAGGCTAGCAAAAACCACACACAAAAAAGACCTCTCCCCCCCCAAAAAAAAAACAATACAGAGAAACAACATTCGATAAGAAAACCACACTTTTTAGTTTCAGGACACTTCACAGGAGGCAAACGGCGTAAGAGCTAGCCAGAATGGGGAAGTAAAATTTAAAAACAGACCCGAAAGATAACATTGTTTAAAATCTGTTTGCTTGCTGAAAGGGCCTTATTTCAGCGCAACGTCATTTAAACTTTTGGACGTGTTTGGGGTAATTTGCCAGGCCTTCCCCTCTCAACCCTAATTAATTATTACCAGTGATTAGTGACACGAAAAACTTGGGAATGTCGACTCTCACGAAAAAACGAATTCAATCGTTCAAAAGGCCAAACGAGCTGTATACTTGCTCTATTTCCCATATCTCGTTTCACTCTCTTCTTTTTCTCTCTCCTAACTCCTATCCCCCATCCCTCTCTGCGCTACAGGTGAGCATCAACAGACATATTGATCGTTGGCTACGTGGCCCCCCTGCCCTTCACCCGAGCTCTGCCCCAGCTCTTTCCCCCTTTCCACCCGCTGCGCTGTAGTGAGGGACGGTTAGGGACCCATCGGGATCCCCCCGACTCCGATCCTCTTCGCCGCTCAGGTAGGAGCCGAGCGGCACCTGACCCCCGGATCGTAGCCGACCGGGCCCGTAGGCCGGTTTCCGGATCCCCCCCGACTCGAGGACAGTGAGCGTCCAAAGTCCCAAGTCTCGTCTTCGGCTCCTCCGAATGCTGTTATCGGTCGGCACCGCTCGGGTGCGACCGCGACCGGCTCGGCCGGCTACTTGCATATGATCTGAGTCGGATCCCTTACAAGACGTGTGCTAGTGCCCTTCTGCTTGCAAGCTACGTGTGTCCTACAGAATTAAATAGACCGGCGAAATGCGTCTGACCCACAGTGCCCGCACAGGTACAACCATCGGGTGCTTCAAAGGTTCACTGCAAACGTTTCAACGGATCAGAGCAATTGTCACCGTGGCCGTGGTGACAAATGAACTAGACTGTACTGTAGGGCAGAGTTGGCCTGCTGTTCATGTTCTTCAAAGGGAATGCCTTAACTCTTGCCTTGTTGCGAAACCATCCTTTGCCGGAGGAATGTGCTGCGAGAGCGCGAAGAGCACGACAAGAGACGAGTCGTCTTACCACTTGGTATACGTTAGGTCAACATGCCAAACAAAAACATTTGGCTCTCCACGAAAAAGATAAAGATAGACATTGAAATTACCCATATTTATACAGCAAAAAATATAAAAAAGCATGTATGTTCCTTTGGCGAGTAGTACCATGGGACTGGACTGCTCCATCTCCGGGCATTATATGTGAGTGGGAAAAGGAGTGGAGAGGGTGGAGGGAAAGGAGGGAGGGGGGAGGGGGGGAGGTTGCCATTGTGAGCGCAATGCGACGAGAAGAAAAGGAGAAGTATATATGAGGCCGCGCTGCCGCGCTCGGGCGGGCAGGAGATGGGGCTCATCACGTGGGGCGGGGCTAGAGCAGCCTCCCCCTCCCGCATTATACTCCTCTTTCGTGTGTCGCCGGCGGTTTACCGCGCCATCGGTTGTTTGGGTTTCTACTATAAAAGTACGGTAAAAAAAAGAAGAGCAACCAGTAAAAGAAGAAAGAAAAAAAAGCAGAGCGCTAGAGTGAACACAAAAGAAGGTTAGGCTAAGCGGCGTGCGTCCGGGGGGCAGGGGAAGACGTGGCGCGGCGCGGAGTCGAACGAATAACCTCGGCGACCCGACGTGTCGTCTCTTTACCCGCCTCTCCCCCGGTCTCTCAGTCAGTCAGTCTCCGTTCCGTTGAGTCGACACGGTCGTTAAAACATCTGCTCGGGTTCTCATGTGTTTGCAAGGGCAATATCTTGTTGCGGCCCCTCCTCCCCTCTTCCCCTTGCTCGACCCTTTATATACCCCCTGCTTTCCCCTTCACTCCCCTCCTTCAACCCCCTCCTGCTGTTTACTCACGCGGCGTGATTACCGAGGCGAAAAGGATAACTGGAGACAACGGACAACAAGTGAAGGGAGACTGAGAGGACAGACTCGCTGCTCAAGCAGTTGTCGCGACAGTAATAACACGGACCAAACCAGGAGTCACACTGTTAATTGGAACCCCTGCTAAGCAGTGCATTTGTAATCAGGAAGCAAGTGCTTCGAGCGAAAGATTTGACGATCGCTCTGCGCAGGTTCTAACAAACTGTGTACCTTAAAATGAAATTAAAATAAAAGTTTCAGGCCATCGTTTGTGGGGTTATTCAAAACGAGAAAGCTTAGGGGGGAAACAGTCACGCTCAAAATTGTATGGCGCGTTACCGCATCATACCCGAATCAGGTGTTCAGGGTATTATGGAGTGCCCCATTGCGATTGTCACCAAACTGTAGCTCATTTGCGTGGCAAATCGAAAGATATAAGGCAAACGTCTACACAACTAGGTAGATGTACGCCAGACCACGTCTCGCGTAACAGGCTTCGCGATTACCCCTTAGGAAACAATAAACAAAATATTTTTAAAAAAACTTTATTTGTGGGACCTGTGGTTTTTGATTTTTTTAAATCCAATTTTTGAGGTAGAATGCTCTACTTCGGACTTGATCTGTCTTCTTATGATACAAAACGACCCTGAAAATCCCAGGTCGCTAGCTCACTTCGTTCTCGAGTTATCGTGATGACAGAGACAAACACACAGACAGACAGACAGACAGACAGACAGACAGACAGACAGACAGACAGACAGACAGACACACAGACAGACGCGAAACTTTTTGATCATCACTGGAGTAATAGGCTTCGCTAATCGCTCAGCCAATAAAAAGGAGCGGGCGTCGAACTGGTGTTTCAATTTTACCTGTGAATTCGAGCCCTCCGAGCTTCCACACGCCGCGCTTGTTGACGAAGATGGAGGCGGGGCAGACATGCCGGTGCAGCATGTGGTGCTGGTAGTGGAGGTACGACAGGGCCTCGGTGAGCTGCAACAGACGCACAGACATATTCAAAACCGTCGACCCCACCGGGCACTGACTAACAAATTTTGCAGAAAAGTTGGGGAGAAAAGGAAGAATGGAATGCCGCACTGCTTATAAAGACTTGTTATGGACGGGCGAGGGCGGCCCTTTCTATCTAATAACCGACGGGCTAATAATTGTCTCATTAAAAAGTCAATAACTGGGATGCCAGCAGTGGGCGGACGGTGGCCGCGCCATAAAAGGCTAAAAAGGGCGGATGCGACGACTCCGGCCGACCCGGCATCCGGACTTCGTTCGTCATCATTTCGGTAAAAAGAAAAGGGGGAAATGCGACCCCCATTGCGATTGCCGAATCCCTCTACTTACACTCATATCAAAATTGTGCAACTGACGTCCACTAAGTGTTCAACACTATAACTATGAAATATATTTATGGTAACCGACAGTAGATTTAAACCCGTTGGAGAAATCGATTTCGTGATTAAGAGTATGCACCCATCATACACCTGAAAGGTTTTATCTAACGCAACACTTTCAAATATTCAAATATCTAGTCAAACAGATAAAAGTGTGAAGCATTGTACTGAACACTTGCAAGTGTACGAGTTTCAAATTCTATGTCTAAGAAAGTTGCGCAAGTAGTGCTTAAACAAACGAGCAAAGATAGAAGAAGAATAAAACAAAAACAAAATAATGGTGGTATAACGAAAAAGTTGACATTTGCTAGTTAGGCAAAAGTTTTGAGATTGTGCAGCTCACAGCAGCTGACAGTGAGCCAAACGGATGGCCTACCCCCAGGTCGTCAAGAGTTCAGGTCTGTTGACTGATGAAAGAGAGAGGCAGAAGGGAGAGAGTGAGAAAGGGGTGGAGGGGGTGCAAAGTGGCTTAGCGTTAGCGGGTCATAAATGAGCACAAACAACTCGCGCGCTCTGATACCGAATAGATAACCAATTAGTGCGACGGGCCCATCGCACGGCATTAGCAATGGAGATCCTCCTTCTCGCCCCCGGGGCGCCCCCCTCCGCTCACACACACAAGCACACACTTCATTTGAAATGCAAATTTTTGTTATTTTATTTTGGCGCGAGCTTGTATCTCAGCCCCACCCAGTCGTCGTCGTCGCCCTGCCACTGCCAAGCCCCACCAGGCCACGCTCCCGTGCTCTTACATGTATACTCGACCAGGCCGTAGTGGAATAGTGCCTTATACAGACCGAGGGAGTAGGCCAACTCACAACAGTGTAGTGCGTACTTAAAAACTCATGATTCACAGATATCAGAAGTGTGCAACTTGCAAGCACTTGAGACCGTGTCAAAGAGCTGCGGAAGACTAGCTCAAATTTGAGTACTTCCACTCGCAAGGGTTCACGGTAAAAAAAGTTTCTTTTATTACCAGGTGTTTTCTTGGATTTCAAGAAACTATTGGTGACTTCAAGGAAGTTTCTTGAAAATGCGGCAATATACAAGACTGTGCCTTGGAACTTAGCGATTTCAAGTCACAAGTCTTGTTATTCAAGACACCAATCCAAGACTCTCTCTTAAAGTGGTCGCGCCACTCCCGGCCGCTGCTGCAGCGCCCACCTCGCGTCTTCTAAGCTTCGTAACAAGTGATCGCACTGTCAGTTGGTCGAACCAAATGTATTTATCTTAGTTTTAGGCCTGCGGAACTCGACCTGCAAAGTTTGACGTGCGTCCGAAGCGAAGAAATCAATGTGATATCTGGAATGGTTTACGTACGTAAGTAGAAGGGGGAGGGGGGGGGGGTAGTGGTACGGGAGGAATGTGAAAAGGTAACTATTGCTTCGGGTTCCTCTTGACAAAAGAAAACGAAAATGTTTTAT